TAACTTTAAACTTTATTCTTGATTCTGCAATATCCGGTTTGTAATATTACTGTAATCGGTTGATTTATTATCTAGATGAAAACCAGATTACCCGCCTGTTGTCGGGTTACCTGCTTATTATCGGGTCACCCGTTGACAAACGGGTCACCCGTTGACAGGCGGGTCACCCGTTGACAGGCGGGTCACCCGTTGATAGACGGATGACCCGTTTATCAATATTAAACCGGTTTTCTAAAACTATAATCCGGTTGGTAATATTTTCGGGTCAGATAATCGGTTACACGGTTATCCGGTTTATAGTTCAGAACCCTAACCACCAGTATACTGATGAAGATCTAATTTAGACTGCTATAGAAATAGAACAAGTAGAAGACGAATTTGTTGCGCCGCTCTTAATTGGAGAAGAACAATTGAATATTTTACATGGTGCTCTAAAGATTGTTGATGAAAGGATTGATGATTGTGAAGTAACAATGAAAATATTATGCAAGCTACAAACCTGTATCCATGAGGAGGTTCGAAAAGAGAAAGCCAGAAAGCAAGTTCAACGTAAATTAAAACAATACTTTCAAGCTTGAAGAAAAACATTTGGACTGTCAGATATTAGAAATAGCAGGTTATCGGGTATGAATTAAGAAACAGGCCTGGTGGATCGATTTTTGACTGATTATAGCAGGTTATTGGTTTTGACAGGATCGGTTTGGGGAGGGTCGACAGTATTTATTTATTAAAGAATAGTTAAAAGAATATAAGTTAAGACCTAGCAGACCTTGACAGAACTTATCTTGCTTTAGGCAAAAAGACAAGGTTTTTATATTTTATAGAACGTAAAAACAAATAATATTTTGTGTCAACAGGTCTGTGTCTGTACCAATGGGTCTGTACCAACGGGTCTGTGTCAATGGGTCTGTACCAACAGGTCCTGCATCACAGAGGTGACAGATTGTTATTTGTTATCTTCTATAGTTATATATCTTTAAATCTTAATAACTTATTAATTATTGACCCGATTGACAAATGGTAAAAACTATACTAAAGAAATTGATATTAAGGATTTTATTGGTGGAATCAGATTTGTACTACAATTAAAAGTTACACGGAGTTACTTAATGAAAATTTAAAAAATACTAATATATCACTAATATAACAATATATATTGTTATATTAGCAATATATTAGTATTTTTAAATTTTTATTAAGTAACTCCGTGTAACTTCTAATTGTAGTACAAATCTG